TTGAATCAGGGGTTTTGAATGTTTGTGTCAAATGTATTGTTTGAAATTCGTTCTGTGATGTCTTGTCTTGAGTTAATAAATGTGTTTTTGTTTAATTATTTATTACTTCCCATTGAGATCACAGTATCCTGAAAGAACCTGGAACTCTTGGTGTATTGAGACACGACAGGATTGATATTTGGGTTGGGGGTTTTTGGTCTGAAATAACTGCCCTAGAATCCCTGATACACATCCAAATTATTATTTTATTAACAATTTGAGAAGATAAGAACTTATAAGTTATTAGTTCTTATCGATCAGGTTTGGGGAAACATTGGGAAGAGACCACTACAATTTCGTACATTCCAAAAGAAAACTGAATATCGAGAATGAAATTTGGAATCCTGGGTAATATTGCCCTTAAGATCTTTGTTAATTCTTTTATATTTAGGGCAATATATCTGATCTTCAAGATACAAGGTATAGATTTCCCCAATTGACTAGGGTAGAATGAGAACTCAGGGGAGGTAAGTAATATAATATAATACAAGTAGAGAATGAGATAAAGATGATTAATGATATTAACCCCTACTCATTACTATTATAATGTATGTATTTTATATATTCATAATATATATATATCATAATTATAGTCTTCTTGCCTCTATTTCTCTTAGTTAATTCTAGTGAAGAGTGATATTGAAGCACAGTTTTTTTTATTTCAGTTTCTAGTGATTTTCTTCTGTCTATTTCATCTTGTATCATTTGGCTATGCAATGTGGGACTTTCCTGCAGTTATTTGAGAATTTTTTGCCCTTGTCATGTCTACTGATTATTTGCTGATATCATTTTCTAAATTTTCTTAATTTATCAAAGCTTTGTCATGCAAGAGTTTATATTAAAATTTCATATAAACTTTTGTTATATTTTTTAATGCACATTTTCAGCATGAACTGAATCTGGAAAATTTCTTAAAGATAGCTACCGGTAATGATTCAAATGAATTAGACTTTATCATTTGCGCTTGGAATACTTTCACGAGTGACATGATATACATTTGCAATAGCCATTATCTATAATTAAAATATGTCTGATTACAAGTTGATATAATCTGTGATTTACGTACTATGACTAATTGAATTAACTGGTCAATATACAGGGTGATATATACTGGTCAAGCTGTAATGCCCACTGGTCAGATATACTGGTCAATTTCTTATTAAATTATTAGACAACTATCAGTGTTAATAACCTTCTATAGTTAATTAAATCACATTATCAATTTATTACATTGATCAGATTACATACAGACTCATAGGTTGTCATTTAAAACATGATATTGGTCTACTAGAATCCTACCTGAATTATTTCACCTAAAACAATGTCTATGGTGATGACTGACAAGTGATATCTTTTATTTGCCTTAGCCTTGTTATAAAGGCATAGCTTGATTTTGATTATGTTTATTCTCCACAAAGGAAAAAAAAATTACTGCTACATTTTCACAATGTCAAGCTTTTGCAAGCTTTGTACTTATACTTTGACTGCAATAGCATCTGATCTGTGTTCACAGACTTTCTGTCAAAGTCTTTGATTGGGTGTATTTGCTAGTGTACAATGATTCACTTGTGGCTCTGTGAGTTACACTTTTGCTCGCTAACCTGAATGAGGGTTCAATCCTGGCATGGTCCGAGAAAAACCTTAAAATTTTTCAACCAGGTCATCCACCGCCAGTGATGCACATCAGAGGGACTAATATGGAAAAAGTTAGTGTGTGAAACAGGCTGTGCCTACTAAAAGATCCCTTGACAGTCTTGCAATTCTTAGTCTTCATTAGCCCATTCAAGTGAAGAAAAGAAGATTGTAAACCCCTTTCATTTCAGTTTCACTGTTCTAAACCCTAATCTTGATGATCTTCAGAAGCAGAATTGCAGGAACCACAGATGCTATCAGTGTCCCTTATATACATAAAAATTTAGAAAATCCCTTTAATTCAATATACTTAGTTTATGTTATGTATAGCTGTTGTATACTAATCTAATATGAATATTTGTAGTTGAGCATTGACAGTGAAATATAATCATTTAAAAGTTATTTCTAGTGAATTCCGAGACTCAGAGCTGAGACTGAAGGTAATTTAATTTCATTAGGCTGATATATTCATTAGCTTATCATTTGATCTAAAAGAGAAGAGAAGACTATGTGTATTGATGGTATTATATTGCAATATGAACTGGAAGAATTATGGTTTAATTAATATAATGATTATAATACACCTTTTATTTCAATTATTGCAGTTGTACTTCATGCAAATATGCATAAATATAACTGTTTTTTTCATGTTACATGAGAAACTTTTAAAAGCTATTTTAACCTCTGACAATTGCACTCTCATTAAAAGTTTAAATTCGACATTAATTTCACTTTTTTAACATTTTTCTATGTTTTTTCACGATATCTGATATAAATATTTGTATATATGATTTTTTCAAAGATATTTGAAGAAATACAGATGCCTGTATAGGAGTTTCTGTCAAATCTGTTGCCATAAATGTTACAAAGATAACATTTAACTTAGATCAGAACAAGGATTCCCATCGAGTGAGAATTCCCTTCAAAACACTTGGTGCCAAGTTCTAGACACATGGTGCCAGTATTTAAAAACATGGTGACATCACAGACAAAATGCCTTTGTGATACAATAAACTTCAATATTAAAAGGATATTATCATCTAACTGCACTATTTATCAACATGGTATGATTTGAGCTGTCCAATACTACAATGCACTTTTTTGAAAAATCACAACTTTTACAATGATTCTTACTATATTCCCTATCAATATTATATTATCTTCATAGATAAGAATTTATGATGGCAGTCTCAATATTATTTGTGGTTTGTCTGTAAATATTCAACCTACATGTATGTAACAATTAATTGAAGTGGATTGTGGGAAATGTTGAAGAGATCTTCATGTAGTATGTAATGCAGAACTTGTAGCTGGGATAACATTTGATTACTCTTTTTCAATTTCAAGTTCCAAGAGATCTTGAACTTAACATGTAACATATTGTACCTTGGTTTATTGTCCCATCTAAATGGTTTGATGCTTTTAAACGAGCTGTATATATGTGGGCTACAGTCTTACCACCCCAGGAAGAGAAAGAGAAACTGATAGATATGTAATGTCTTAAGTTAAGACAAACATCAATTTTAATTGAAGTGTAATTTGTTAAAGAAATGATTTCCCATGCCATATGAATAATATTGATGTCTGTATTTGATTGATATGTTATACAGGGATTTATTATGATTGACATTTAATAAAGAGATTATAGACTGAGATTAATAGATTATCAGATAATCCCATCTCAATATCCTTACCTACTGCATACAAGCATGATAGATATACTAATCATATATTCAAAGTCACAATATATAGGAGATAATCTTGAATGCACACTAAAAATTTATCAATTTCACTTGTGCTTTTAGCTTTGAAGGTGAAACCAAGCAATTGTTTTACTATGCCTCGGATATCTAATTTTTTAGGCTCCAAAATGAAAGCATACCTGACTTGGTAGTTGGTTCTGTGCAGTGTAGTGTGGTTCTATTGTATTTCAGGCATTGTCTGTGTTCAGGAAATATCTGTTGAATTTGGGATGGTGTTGAAAGTATTATCATGGTTTCATTCATCAGGAAAAAATTTAAAAAAGTTAAAAAAACTCCCAACCCATGTGGTGGCCACTTACAATAAATTTTGATGGGAAGGGTTTTGTGAATTGAGGCCCCTGTTCAATAAGCTTACAGTGACTGCAGTATATAAGTAAAACAGCCTCTGCTTTTGCAGGAGGGGTCACCTGTGATACTTATTTACCCTATTATATGCATTTGAATATTTTTGAGTGTCATCTGATCATATTTGTATCTTCATATTTCTTAGTGTGCACCTCTATATGACTTAATGAAAATAAACAATAGAAAATCTGTCATATCATATCTTTAATTCTTGTTAACTCCTTGTCAAATTTAATATGGTTGGCTGGCAAGTCGCTCAGCTGTGGATCATAACACATTAGTCTGGTTAATACTACTAGCTTTAAAACTGACTTCTTATACCTTAGGCTTTTATATGGTGAAGGATAACATTACACTTAAAGCTTGTTAAAGAACAGACTATCTTGAGGCTGTTTCATACCCCTTTAACTTTTCATTCATATAGTTATTAGTGGTCTACAGTTAGTGTTAGTGTTACTGAAGTTATTGCTGGGACGTTTATTCGTGTAAATGCCTGTTTAATGTGATTATCGAGTGTTTTTAAGACAATTTACAGAATAAAAACAGAAGAAATATAAATTTTTACAGGTATGTTATTAATTTGAATAAATTGTTTGATATTTTATTGAGATTATTTATTTATATATTTTGTTTATTATTATTTGAAAATTTTTTAGTGTTCTTAATTGCATACATGATAAAAGTGAATATTTCATTTTAATAGCGTAAATCACAAGATATATATGTTATATGTTTCTAAGTTAAGTTTAATATGATAACAATAATATGAAATGCAATTTGTAACTGAAAATGAAAAGTGATTTAAATGAAATATGAAATGTACCATAATTGAAATTATGAAATGCAATTTGAAATATAAGGTAATACGTTAACAAATATAACATTTAAACAGAAAAAAATGAACTGCAGTATGAAATGTAGGGATGCAATTACAGAAATATGAAATCAGAACAGAAATAATATGCAGCTAAAGTATGACAACACATATATTTACAGCATCATCATCGAAACGTCGCAAGTTACTTATTAAAGTAATTGTTATCCATATAATTGTGTCTAGTTATAAATATTCTAATAACAGAAGTTTATAAAATTTTAGATATAAATATGAAATATAAGTAACAGAAGAAAGAAATATAAGAATACAATTAACAGATATATGAAATATAAGATATATGAAAGATAAATTTGAAACAACAGATATATGAAATATAAATTTGAAACAACAGATATATGAAATATAAGATTAAAAGTAACAGATATATGAAATATAAGATTAAAAGTAACAGATATATGAAATTTAAGATTAAAAGTAACAGATATATGAAATATAAGATTAAAAGTAACAGATATATGAAATTTAAGATTAAAAGTAACATATATATGAAATATAAGATTAAAAGTAACAGATATATGAAATATAAGATTAAAAGTAAGATTGAGTAAACCACTTCTTTGCCATTTCATTTAAAGGCAATATTTCATTTATATATTATTATATAGTTATAATATAGATATATGAAATATGAATATGAAACAACAGATATACATAATTAAAGTATAAAAGTAACAGATATATGAAATAAAAGTATAAAAGTAGCAGATATATGAAATATAAGATAAAAAGTAACAGATATATGAAATATATAAGACATATGAAGTGAAATATGATGTAGTTATCAATATGATTAAATTAACACCTTGTTAAAGGTAGTTTCTCCACCCTAAATCTGTTATAATTTCTATCACCACTACCGATAACTACTGTTTTTATCTAGTCTACCAAACAATCCACAGTATTGACTTATATCATTCCTGTTAGTCTTTATATCATTCCTGTTAGTCTTTTATCACAGTATTTGTAATCGTAATTGTAGAATTGGTACCAATGTTGATAAACATCCAGATGTCAAATAAATTTTTGTAATTCTTTTGGAGAAATAAAAGTTTTTTTAAGTTTGAAAGTTTGTATTAAAATCAGTTATACTGAATTATTGCCCAACTCTAAGCTTATTTATAGTTAAATGAACATGTATCAGGCAATCAAGTGCATTGGCTTTCATTTCATTGAAGACAGATTATTTTTCTTAATGCTTATATGAATTCAGATGGGTCTCTGTTGGTAATACATGTTCAATATTTTTATTTTTATCAGCTTATAGAATGCTTTTTTTTTTTTGCTTTATTTGTTGATATCAAAAGATTGAGTAAACCACTTCTTTGCCATTTCATTTAAAGGCAATATTTCATTTATATATTATTATATACTTATATTATAGCATATCTCTGAGGACTATGTGGAGATTGTTTAAGATGGAGTTATTTTTCTCGAGATTACTGAAAAAGTTCTTTTTTTTTCCTGCATATTTGTACATTATCATGGTATACACCACTATTTCATTCCATGAATTCAAATATTGCAGTCCTCAAATCTATCTGGGGTGGCTACTTTAAGAAACTAAAATGTCAAATTTCCAATCAATTAGACTCATCAAGATATTGTAGAAGGTATATTTGTAGATAGTTTTGTCTAAAATAGAAAATTATATTAAATTTCATAATTTGTGCCAGGAATATTTCTAACTAAGAAAATATATTAGATGAATTTTTATGATTTATGTTGTATTAGATAATTAGTTAACATGCAGAAAAATCAACCACTGTGAACACATACACTTTCATTACATCCCGTTGTCAAAATACATTTATCCAGTCTCTTGCGTCCCTTGCGTCCCTAATGCTTCTTATACAGTTTACACCTAGTTACATTTGGATTGAATATATTTCGGTGAAATTACGTTAACTGTCTGTCTTCGCATTGGGTGTTAGCAAATGCAAATTGTTGCAGCCAAAACTTTGCACATTTGTTTTGTGATGTTTTTTTTTCATTCGTAATATTTCAATATAAAAATGTGCATCATGATGCTTGAAATTGATTTACTGTTAGCAATAGAGATAACACGTGTATAATATTGGATAACACGCTGAATAATTACATGTACATTCTAATAATGTTGAAAAAAAGAATACAGAATGTACTGATAATCTGGTAAAGATCATTGCCAAGAGCATATTTCTTATTATTACCAATTTACCAAACTTATAGAATCTGTAGCTAGCATTTGTATTATAGAACCAGTATACAGGATTAATTATGATAATGAAAAAGAAGAATATAATAAATGAAAATTATTTAAACACCAGTAATAACAACATACTAAATACCAAATTGACATTTCATTATACTACAATACAAATGATAAACAAATTTACTGATATATCTGTTTGTTTTGTCTCGCAGGCTTTTAGACAAGTTCCTGCTGATCAAAAGAGCTTCCTTCTACAATCAAAGTTCAACTACTATGTTATTTCTTTCTTTACTTTGTTAATAGTTTTGCTAACATCTCTTATGTACATGTTCTTAGCTATTCAGCAGATTATCTAGCTGCCATCTTGTTTTATTCCTTTACCATTAACAATTTTCAGGAAAAGTACTTCAAATGTTGCCAAGGACAAACTCTTATCTTAATTGTTTGTATTTGATTTGAAATATATATAAATATATCATAGAATGATAGGGTACAAATTGAATTGAAGTTTCAGAGAAAAGGGTACCAACTCACCAACTGATTTTGCTGATAATTGCAAATTAGATTCATAGTACTACACTTATCATTCTGTAAATGTTCCCTTGAAATTCTCAGAGTTTAAATAACAAAATAAGAAAAAAATCAAAGAAGTGAATTTCTTGAGGCATTTTATAATAAAATAATATTAGAATCCTGACACTTTATATTACTCTGTCTTTCTATCTCATTTTAACGATTTTAGTTTAAAATTGGAACATTGCAATTTTGAATCTTTTTACTTAAAATTAAAAGAACTTGTTCAAAAAAATATACAGGTATTTTTACTGAATCTTTAAGGGTTTCAACCAGGATATCAAAACTTTTCACAAACTGGAAATATTGTATAAGTAACTTTAATTATTGACTTAGATAAGACATGTCAACTTGTGAACAAACCAAGGTAAGGTCTACAACAATAGATAAAGAGCTTTAAAAACAGACATGTATATTTAGTATGAAAAGATCTTTACAATTTACAATTGAGTCAAAATAAATACTTAACCTGGGCTAATTTCTTCAAATTAGAAAGAAAAATATGTCAAGCTTATTATGTCAACTGAAATTTTGGTTTTAAACAGTATTTGAGATTTCTACATCTACATCAAAGTCCTACTCTGCTTAAAAACATTTCAGTTTCAATGCACACAAAAAGTTTTTCTCAGTTGTGAAAAGAGCACATTAAAGAGCATCACCAGCTTATTTCACTGTTCTCGGTTTTTTATATTACAGTTTGTTACTTGCTCAGAATTTTAACAGATGAGCATCTTAGGATGAAGAATTACATAAATGGAAATGTTGTTGGAAGAATTGATACAGTTATATCAATTGCTTTGCTGTAGTGAAAATTTTAAAGTTTTCACTACAGTTAGTTAAGTTTGTCCTTTTTCGAGGTCAGTAACACCAACATTTTGAATTAAAAAGTATAAATAATTGTATCATTAACTATTTTACTATTGGTTATAATCAATACCTTTATAAAATGTAGTATCATTATTTTTTATTGTGGCTTCTTGATTGTTATTCTGGTCAACTGACCCATTTAAAGGAAATGTTCATTGTAAAAACTAAATAAGACTAAAATGTGACAGGCAATTTAATTTTCTAAACATTTTATGAGTATCCTTGTAGGCCCCTACATGATAAAGCAAGAAAATCTCTTTCAAAAATTCACATTCCTTTTTGTGTGCAAAAAAGGTACACATAGCTACATCATTCAAATACCTAGAAGTTTACAACAATACATTTCTTACTTCAAACTTTATCAGAAATAGTAGGACTTCTTCCTTTAATAAATATCAGGGAAATATATTACTAATTTTGATTTGAAAACTATGAGTAAATGGACATTAGTTAAAAAAAGTGGAAATGATTTAATGCTTTCAGAATTAATTAAGCATTATTTGTTATGGAAGATATCACTTTAGTTAATCGAGTAAGGTCATTCATCCATTGTGAAATATAGACCTACACTAGACATAATACTGATTAAAACCTAATTGATATCACTCTACAATTTTCAGGGTGACTGACTCATACAATTAATAAGATAAATGTCAATAGAATCCATACACTTGATTCTTTATTTCAAATTTTACAGGTGCCCTCACAGCATAGCAATCAGTGGTTAAATTGTGTATGATTGTGAATAAGAATAGCAATCATAAGTTTTGATCACAACTCTCATGCTACTCAGTTGTGTTTTGTATTCAGAACTTATGACCACTTTTTTTATTCCCAACTATACTCAAATAATAATCATTATGGTGTGAAAGTTTAAAGATTTTGATACCATAACAGAAGATTAACCTTTTTGAATTGAGAAACAAGCACTAAAGGATCATATAAGTTCATCTAGTAATTTGCAGATTAAATCCCTTCATGCATTAAATAAGATGGTGGACCACAGCCATATACGCCCACCACGGCATGCAGATGGTAAATATTCAAGATTTTGGGGCAAGGGCAATAACTCTGCTTCTAATGGTCGGAAATAGCTCAAATTTGAACTTGATCTTCGTTTTATGAATATGTATACACATACCGAATTTCATTTGATTCCATCAAAAAATCTAAAAAAATTTTTTAGAGCATTTACAAGCAAATGTTGATGGGTTGACGGACGGACGGACGGGGGGCTGACAATATACGTCCACATAGAGAGATGTGGGTGTATAGAAATGATGCAAATTTTACTGTAGCACATATTTTGTTTAGATACATGATATGAGTACAGACCATAACCATTTATTTCTTCTAGTTCCTGTAAATATGGTGATAATGTAGTAATAAATACAAGGACACTCATATTGATATATATGTCATAAAAATGTACCAATTTACACAATATTTATAGGCTTATTTCATAGAAATGAACTGAAATTTGAACTTGAAGACATTTTATGGCTATTATTTGATACAATGGTCATTGTAAGAAGAATTTAAGGTCTATTTTGTCACTTCATTATATTGAGTGCATATGACTCCTCTTTTGATCTCTTAATCAAATAGGACAGAAAGGAATTTGTAAAGTCTTGAATTTGAATAGAAATGAAATTGGTATGAATAGGTTGTTTATGGCTTCAAATTAACTGTGTAGGTTACAAGAGTATATCCACCAAGTACAATGTTGGTGTGAAATGAAGTGTATTTAAACTGTTTAGTCCAGTGTATGAAGTAGGTTTAATGGACCTGTGAGCCGTTCTTTACAAGCAAACATTAACACACGTCTAAAAGGTTCAAATATGCCTTCTATTATGTCTTGTTGCTACAAACATGGGCAAGTTGAAAGAATAGCGTTAATCTACCATTTGACATTTG